GGCACACCTGACTGTGCTCAGGGCTTAATCCTGGCTCTGTGCTCAGGAATCACTCCTGGTTCAACTCAGAGCACTATGTGTGGTGCCAGAGACTGAACTTGGGTTGGCTGCATGCGATGCAAGTGTCCTACCCGCAGGACTATCTCTCCAATCTTAGTACATTGCTGCCTTTGTCTCACAGGTATGCCTACTTCTTTCTTTGGGTTCAAATTACCTGCTCACTTTGGAGGGACTTAGAGATTACCAGAGGTTCCCACAGCTGAAGAGAGGAGAAACTTTGGTAAAGTTCACATGATATAAGAGATTTATGGCAGACTGTTTCAGTTCCCACTTTCTGGTTGTTGTGCTATTATTTTTATGTGTTTTACTTCTGCAATGTCATAAACTCTACATTGCACTATTATCTTTTTTTTTTGCTTTAAATGTAGAAAACCACTGAGTTTCTTGCGATATTGATGCTTCTGTCACTTCAATGCATACCTCATGCCTTAGTAAATGGTGTAGCCTCCGGGCCCTCCAATGGAACATAACCCTCTAGCAGAGGGAGCCCATGCATCCCAGAAATATGTCAGCTCCAGTACACTCTCTTCCCTGAATCTTTTAATCCCACATCTCTACTATCCATTATGACAGTTCAACTATTCCAACTATACTCGACATACATCACCACATTCTCCAAATGTTTGGAACCACTAAACTGCATGTTTATTCCAATTTCCAAGGGTCCTTCTCAGTCTGTTAAATCCTCTATCACAAAATAATGCCCCTAAGTCAATAAACTCTTCCTCTTGAGACTGATTTTTCCAGCCTTCTTGATTAAGTACTTCAAACCAGCTTCCCCCAGTAGATCTCGATTCTGCTATACACGATGCTGCTCCTTCGGTATGTGCTTCCTTTAGTATCTTATCATTCTAGTTTTTCCCCACACTCATTCTCATTTATTATTATTATTGGTTTGAGGTCCACACCTGGTGGTGCTCAGGGCTAACTCTTGACTCTGTGCTCAGGGATCACTTCTGACAGTGCTTGGGGAACCATATGGGGTGCCAGGGATCAAACCAGGTTTGTTAGAAATATGCAAAGCAACTGCCTTAGCCCCTGTACTATCTCTCCAGTCTGTCATCTTCATTTTGGGCTCCTATAATGCCAAGCCCCAGGTAAACATCTGCCTGGCTCCAAATCCTAAATTCAAAGGAAACTTTGTTTCATGAAGATGTTTTCGAGACAGTGCCTGGTACTTCAGAGACCATGCTAGAGCTGAGCCAAATTTAGAAGTCAAGATCAGAAAAAAGATATGAATTTGGTTTCTATGAGTGGCCCCCCCATAGGTAGATTCCCAATCCTCTCTGCCCCTGGGCAAGTGGTGGGGCTCACCTCTGAGATTAATCTGGGGAAAAATAACCGTATGTGTGTGTGTGTGTGTGTGTGTGTGTGTGTGTGTGTGTGTGTGTGACTGAGCATTGTCTTTTCTCCCTTTGGGCTTCAGCTTTAAGTGGAAGAGATGGTAGATTACCACCCTCTATTACCCTGATCTCTATATAAAGAAGCCTTGAATATTAGCTGGATAAATACTTACCCTTCCTTTCTTCTTTCCTCTCCTTCCTTTCTTCCTTCCTCTCCTTCCTTCCTTCCTTCCTTCCTTCCTTTTTCCTTTTTCTCTCTTTCTTTATCTCATTCTCTCTCTCTCTTTCCCATGAGGGAAAGAGAGGCCAGGGGATTCCACTGGAAATTCTTTGCCAACCAGGCCAATGGTAGCTCAGTGCAAGGGCCTGTGGATGCGATACTGCTTGGTTCCTGCAGTACCAGAGATGCCTGGGCCACTCCAGTGATGCTGGGATCCTCCAGGGTTACATCTGGCAGTGCTCAGGGTCTTCCAGGCTGCACCAGATGATCCCCAGAAGTCAATGTCAAGCTGGGAATTGAGCCCTCGCATGCCCCCTAACTGCTGTATTTTCTCCTGGCCCCACATGGCCACTCTTTTTAACTTCCCTCACAGACCTGATCCTTAGTGGTCACATCTCTCCAATGGGCTGTTTGCAGGAACAAAATTTACTAGTTCAAATTTCAGCCATTAGCTTGTGCCCCAGTGGAAATGTGAGTGCCCATCAGTTTCCCTTTCTTCCTTCCTGCTGGGTACTCCCAAGACAAAGCCGGACCCCAGAACCATTTCCTGAGCTCTTACACAGAAGAGAAATCAACGTGTTGTTGAGGAGCTTGGCATTTGGGCTTTCCCTGCCATGGCAATTGAGTATGAGCAAAGTCACCTGGGTCTGTGGGTAGAGGGCACCTCACTTGCACCTCACGCTACTCTTCAATCTCCAACTTTAATCATACCAGAAATGAATGTGGTATTGTGACCTCAGATGAATGCTACTTTGCTTTCTTGTTAAAATTCTTCAGAACCCAATGGACTGGAGGGGTTTGATTAGAACCAGCACTAAGAAATAAACCAGTTGTTTGTTTTGGGGGCTACACCTGATGGTGCTCATGGCTTACTTCCTGTCTCTGAACCCAGAAACCAATCGTGGTAGAGCCCGGAAATCATATGCAGTACCAGGGATAGAACCAGAGTTGGTTGCATGCAAGGCAAGTGCTTTAACCCTTGTATTACATCTCTGACTTCAGTTTTTACTGTTTTGTGGCCATGCCCAACTGTGCTCAGGGATCATTCCTACTGGTCTTGGGAGACCATATCGGGTGCCAGAGATGGAACCCAGGTCAGCTTGTATGCAAAACGAGCACCTTGTGCCTAAACAATCTCTCTGGATCCTCTGACTTCAGTTCTTATAAGACACACTGTCTGGGATCAGTGAGAAACTCCATGTGGAGGATTTTTGTTTCTTTATTTGTTTGTGGGTCATGCTTAGTGGTTCTCAGGGTCTACTCCAAGCTTCATGCTGGCTCAGGGGAGCACATAGTACCGGTATGGCACCTCTACCTCCTGCATGCAATCATGTGCTCCAGCCCTTTGAGCCTCCTCCTCTGAGATGTGGGCAGAGGGGAGTGAGCAGCGAGGGACTCCATGAAAGGAAACTGGGTTAAGCCACATGAAAGAGATACTAGTTCCAGCACAGTGAGAGGTGGTGGGGTGAGCCTGAGGGACAAGTTGCCCACAGCAGGAAACAAGCAGTACAGAAAGTTCCTCTTAACATGCCACCATACAAGAGAGCATTCGCCACCATCCTGCTTGGGCACCATAAGACAGAGCTTTGTTCTCCTAATGCTCTCGTCTTTGCTCAGACACCGAAAGTCACTCAGGAGGGGAAAAAGAAAGATCAGGAAGGGACAGCGACTCTGTTTCAAGCCTAGGTCCAGCCCACGCTGACCCCTGGGCAGGGACCCCTGCATGGGAGAATATATATTATGTTTGGCCTGGACTAATGCTTTCCATTCAAAGAACCTGATATCTAGTTGCCCAAGTGGGATTAGTACAGGTTGATGACTAGTGGGCAGGAGAACTTCCATTAGGATGCTAAGCAGTCATTGGTACAAAATTAAACTTTTCAGCAGGTTTCTTCTACCCAGGCACAAAGGAGGATGCAGGAAGCTACTCGCAGAGGTCATAAATAGTGTAGGCAACCACCATGGGCTGACGAGCCTGGAGTGTGCCCCCCAGGACGACTCAGCACATTTCTAATCTCCCTGCGCAAGGCCCAGATTCTAACTGACAACAACTCAGCGAAATACACACTAGAAGGCTGCAGGTAGATGGGGGCCATAAGAAAAGTCTATCCCAAGCCTGACTTAAGGCTAAGCCACATTCTCTGGACTCCTGCAGATATACAGGAGTGAGCCAAGAAAAGATATACAGGAGTGAGCCAAGAAAAGGGCCATAAACACAGACAAAGACAGCACTGGGTCTTTTGTTCCTTGGAGGCAAGGCCTGCTTGCCCCTTTGCAAGTGTCCTATGTTCCTAGTAAATTGACTTTCCCTGCCTATAATGCTCTTGGTCAATCCCTCTCACAAATCATCATCTCTGTTCCCCAGCCCCAGCATCTTGGTGGCCCACTTCAGGCATTCGTCTTTCCTCTGATTCATCTCTGGGTGGGAGGGATTCTGTTTGGCTGAGCTGGAAATGGATAGATGCTGGCCTGGGGCAGTCTTGGGTAAACCCGGAAACTCAAGTGATAGGGAGGCTCTGGGATCTGCTAGGGGTGGTGGCAGGGGGTCAAGGCCAAGGATACCCTTCAGGGAGACATGTTTGTGATGGCAAAGAAGATTCTAGATGGCTTAGTGTGAGGGATGCAGGCAGGGACACAGCTGTCTCCTGGTGTGAGAGGAATATAGACGAGGAGTCAAGAGGCCAGCACCAGGCCTGCAGTGAAAGTCCCTGCTCATATTGGCAGCAATGTGCAAGGTCCTAATGGGGTGTGACCAGCACAGGGAGAGTGCTTGGGGCCCTGTGGGGCCACGTGCTCACTCTCCAGGCAGTCTGACTCTGACCCATTTTAGGGTCACAGATTGGATAGTTTCCATAACTGGACTCTTCTTGTACCTGGACCCGCAGCTGACCAACCCTGGTCCCTGTGGGCCTGGAACACAAAGAACAAGGCTTCCCCCAAGGTCATTCATCATCCAGAACACACCCCAGCCCCCATCCTTCTCCACCAGCTTCTGAGGGAACACAGCAACGTCACAAAACAGGGATGCATGTCAGTGTGTTTTTGAACATTTATTTTCAGTGTAAGGATGTGAGTGCCACGGAGGATGGCTAAGTGACCCCTCGCCTCCAGGGTGGTCTGAGGCAGGGTCAGGCTGGGTACCAGCAAACAGTCCAGACTATCTTCTCCCCCTGAATCCATGTGGGGGGTCGCCTGGGTTGGGGGTGGCCACTCTGTCCTGCAGCGTCATCTGGCGTGAGGGCTGAGCAGGGTCCGTGGGTGGGGAGCAGGACGCGTGGAGGGGAGCACGGTGTGGACTCGGTCTAGGAGTGTGGGAGGGGGTGAGTGCTGGAGCCGGAGGAGGTCCAGGTCCAGGCCGTCTCGGGGGGGCTGGGAGGGAGGTGGGTTTCCCAGGCTGCAGAGCGTGGACAGGGGGGCTCACGCCACAGGCAAACCCCGCCTGCTCTGCGGAACCCAAGTTTGTATGGGGCGGGGGGGCCACCGTGGCCCTTCACTCGGCCACATCGATGGACAGCATAGCCTTGATGGCAGGAAACTTGTTGCAGGAGAAGTCAGCCAGGAGCTGCTTGGTGCCACTCCGAGTGGGCATGATCTCGAAGCGCACTCGGGATCTCTCCTTGGGGCGCAGAGCAGGCACCCTGTAGGGGAAGGGAACAGGTGAGTGCGGTGAGGGTGTGAGCTGAATGGGCCTGCTGGGGCTTTGACCCCTCTTGAGGTGGGAGCTGGAGCCATCACTGTTTGTCAGTGATGGCTCCCTCTCCCAGCCTCTGCAGGTCACCAACTCCCATTGGGACCCCTCAGCGGGGGGAGATGAGTCAGGGGCGGAAATATCTTCCCAATATGCTAACCTCTCAGGTCTTGCTATGAGCTCTGGTGACCTGGGCTTCCTGGGAAGGAGCTGAAACTTGGATGCAACTCCCATCCCCCATGCACACGTGAGCCCTGATATGCAGACCCTGAGTTTCAGGGCAAGAGGCCCTAAGCAGCCGGAGGAGCTTAGTCTGTCGCTGCAGAGCTTCGGGGAAACCTTCTCTGCCCTCGCTGCCCCCTTCTCACAAGCCAACCCGGGCCCGGGACTCACTGGATCTTGAGGTTGCCTCTGAGCAGGCCGCTCCCCTCCACCATCAGTATACAGTCCTTCACCGGCTCGTCCAGTGGGTTGGAGAACAACATCTGCACGTTCACGGGCTTCCGCACCCGGGCCTCGTCCAGCACCTGATGGGAAAGGGGAAAGGGGAGTCAGGATACGGGCTGCTGGCCCCTCACCGCCACACGCAAGCATCCCTAGGGCTGGGCAGGTGACATGGGGGTTGGGATCCCAGGGGATAAAAGACTGATGGTTTAGTTCATCTAAGTGCCAGTGGTACTCAGGCCGAGCTTCTAGGACATTGCTCTCCTCTCCCTGTTCTCTGGCAACGGACCCCTGGACTGAGAGGGAGAAATAGCTGGCAGCTAGACCATCCCAGCTCAGCTTGAGAAGGGATACTCCTGCATCCCAGAACAGCCAGGACCACAGGAAACGCGTGTGACCTGAGAGGAGAATCCTTTGAAGTGTAATAGCATTAATCTTTGGTTTTTCTTTTCTATTTTCACCGTATCTCATGATGTTCAGGAGCTATTTCTGACTCCGTGCTCAGGAACGACCCCTGGCAGTGCTCGGTGGACCATGTGTGGTACCAGAGATTTGAACCAGGGTTGTGAGGATGCAAGTCAAGTGCCTTGGGGCTGGAGGAGTAGAACAGTGGGGGAGGGCGCTTGCCTTGCATGTGTCCAACCCAGATTCTATCCTCAGCACTCTACATAGTTCCCAGAGCCCTCCAGGTTTGATCCTTGGGCTCAGAGCCAGGAGTCAGCCCCGAGCACTGCTTGTTGTGGTTTCTCCCACTCAAGCCCCCCTCCCAACAAAAAAAACAAAAAGACAAGGACCTAAACCCCTGTACTGTCACTCCGAGTTGGTTTTACTGTTTGTGGCCACTAACCCTCTGAGTGATAAAGCACAGTCCAGATGGACTCAATTACCAGGCCTTTCTGGGCCCAGGCACTTCGCTCTGCTTTTGGTACCCTGCAGTGTCTGCTGATAATTTATGCCTAATGGATACACTTTAGAGACCCTGATCTCTACCATTATTTCTCCCAGGAAAATTACTGATGCGTGAAATAGTTGAAGAGGGGAACAAAATTTCATGCCACTGGCATATGTTGAGGCTACATAAAAGACCATATTTTTCATATTGGTGATCAATTTGCAATCTCCGTGTATTTGCTTTTTCTTTCTTTTTAGGCACAATCCTACTGTTCTAGCAACCCAAATTGGTTTGTGTACCCAAAGGAGAGATTGAGAGTTACCAATAACTGGCGTCTGGGTCACGGGCCATGTGAGGGATGCTGCAGTATGGTGGGGACAATGTTCTGAATTTCTGGACTGATCCTCGGTCTAATGTCCTCAGTGCCGAGTGCTAGTCGGTGCTGATACAATCATGGAATTTTACCCAAACTACTCTCATCTTTTTCAACAGATAACCCCCACCTGCTCTCCAATCTGTGCCCTGTTTTGAGTGTACTTTGCCTTGATTCATCTCATTAAGACAAGACTGTCTGGAGTCTCTGAAGGCTGGAGCAAAGGAGAGAAGTTGCAAGAAGGAAATTCACACAAAGAGACCCAAAAGGAGAAAGATCAGGTGCCTTTCTAAAAGATTAAATAGGAAAATTCTCCATGGCCCCTTTGCAGCCAGTATGCATTCTGATGTGCTCGCCAAAGATAATATCTTCTCTTCAAAGACAAAGCCGATTTGATATGGAAATCCGAAAGATGTAGAACAAAACTGTTGAATAAAAGATAAGCTAGAAAATGATTTGAGGATACTGGGCAGGGGTGCATGGAAGGTGATGGGGGAGCTTTGTTTTAAACCCCATCATGCTGTCCCTCGACTGGGGACAGGGACCCAGAGCTGGGCTGGCTGTCAGGACTCCAGGCCAGGGACTGATTCTTGGAAATACCCTGGGAAACAGAAGAGGCTTGAACACGCAAGGGACAAGCATGGGCTGACAATTTCTCAGAAAAGAATGCTAGCCCGGAGCCACCAAGCCCAGTTCCAGAGCTGCGTGTTTGACAGACAATGTCTGATCCATGTCTAAGATAGCATGTTGGGGACACAGTTCAGGGACCAGATCAGGGTCGGCCTCCACCTGCAGAGTTTGCATCTGGTAGGAAACCACAACCAAACAATGGCACAGATAAAGGAGTGACTTCCAGGAGGACAAATGCCACAAAGAAGGAGGACAGAGGTGGCCTAGAGAGATAGATCCAAGGTCTGGGGTGCAGGACTTGCAGACAGGAGGGCCCAGGCTCTGTATGATCTCCTGAGTGACCCCTGAGCATGGAGCTGGGAGTTGACCCTGAGCGCTACTGGGTGTGGCTCTAAAACAGGAAGGAAGAAGGAAGGAAGGAAGGAAGGAAGGAAGGAAGGAAGGAAGGAAGGAAGGAAGGAGACTTAAAGGCATGTATCTAGCAGTCAGACTGAATGGGAGCATGGGGAAAGTGGGGGGCAGAAAACAATATCTTATAGGGGATATTTTAGTCTCCCTGTGAGAGCTGGAGTAACCGACAGTGGAGCTCTTGGCTCTGTCATCTTGCTCTGTGTCCTGCCATTTGCCGTCAGCTCACACCTTGGCCAGTGATAGCGCCAAGGTGTGAGCTGCTTACCCTCTGCTGTCCCTGAAACCACCCAGCCTCTGTCCCCCCAGCCTACCTCTGTGATGGGGACCCCCTCACACACTATTCTGGAGCCAGGGCAAGAAAGCCCCCAGCAGCCTCTCAGAGCCAGATGTGAAGGGGGCCCGCCTGTGAGGGTCTCTGTGGGACCCTGCTGTGGGCTTGGCCCTCCATGACAGGCCTACACCCCTCGGATGTTTTGGGGGGGGCGAGGGGGTTCAGGAGCTGGAGCGGACAGGACAAGCTGAGGCCAGGGTGGGGTAGCCCTGAGTGCCTCTCACAGAACGCAAATCCCCCAATGTTTCGGCTCCTGCAAGGGAATCTGGGAATAGGGCCCATTGCCAAAGGCAAGGCTAAGAGCAGAGCTGGAGACGCCCCACTCTCAGCCACTCTCAGGTGCTGGGATCCCCAGTCCTGAGGTCTCGCCCTTGCTGTGGAACAGCTGACAGCTCCCGTCTCCCCTCTGGGCCTGAGTTTACTCAGGGATCAAAGGTCAGGGTGGTCTGAATGGGTTGGCTCCCTGCATCCTGGGCTCTGTAACTCTGGGTCTGGAAGTGGGGGGCATGCTGTTCTGGCCTGTGGTTGATCTGAACCCCACACAGGGCCGGGGCTGGGTCATAGAGGCCCTTGCTGGCAGAATCCCTCACCTCACCATAGCACCCACAACTCGCCTCTGTGATCCCTGAGCATGGCATGGCCCAGGCAGATGCTGAGAATCTAGTCCTTGGGCGAGAAAACACCTCATTTGGGGTCCCCCATAGATCTAGGATTAGAGCCAAGGTTGCTGCTGGGTGGCATGCAGGGCAGGGGGCATGGTCTGGTTAGAACGAGACCCTCTGCCTGGCCCATGCAGCAGTGACCAGAGCCAAGTAGGGGCCATTTTTGGCCCCGCTCACAGGGAGTCCTGCCCTCCCTTGCCTCCTAGAACACATGGTGGGACACGTCCCAGGTCCCAGGCGGCTCCCCTCCCTCTGCTCTGTACCTCCAGGGTCAGCGTGGGGTTGTCCAGGATGACGTCCCTTGCCACCACCACCTCGCTCTCGTCGGTGACCTGGCACACGGCCGTGGTCCGGATCATGTTGTCAGCCTTCAGGTACTTCTGGTACTGGGCATAGGTGATCTTCACAGGGTGCTGGATTTCTGGAGGGAGAAGTTGGGGTGAGGGGAGCATGAGGAGTGTGGGGTGACTGACTTCGGAGACTTTCAGAGCGATGCCAAGCTGAGCTAGCTGGGAGGATGTGGTCAGAAGCATCTGTAGACCAATCCTGTGAGAACTGCCCCCACCTTGGTACCTCCCTTTGGCATGGGCTCTGGAGCAGGGACTGGGGACACCAGGACCAGTGGATCGGGCAGCCCCCCACCCCAAAAGGAGGAGGTCGGGTTCATAGGGGCCGGATCCTGCTTCCTGTCTTGGAGAAAGCCAGGTGCCCCTTCCTTGACAGAGTGGGGAAACAGGAACCATAACAGATGGTGTCAAGGGGACACATGGTCCCGGGGGAAAGGCCACAGGGATGGACCAAGGATGTGGCTAGGCTGGCGGCTTTCCCTGCTTCTGAACCACCCCCGCAACCCAGTAGAGCAGGCCCCAGAAGCACTGTCCTTCCCATCATGGCACATCCTTCCTGTGTCACCTCCTCTGACTATGCTGCGGCCCCCTGACCTGTGTCACTGACTTCCTCTCACTTGTCCCTGAAAAGACCCCTCTGTGCCTTCTGTCCCCCAGCACCTTCTGCAGCAGGCCCACTGTAACCTGATGGAAATATTTCTGCTGGCCTCTCCTTGCTTTATCTGGGAACTGGGGTCCTGGGGCCTGCTCCCTCCCTCTGCAGCCCAAGGCACTCACCCACTCAGTCAGGCTGGGTGTGCCCACAGTGTGCCGCGCCTTGGGGAGGGGAATAGGAAGATGGTTCAAAGGACTGGAGGGCATGCTTTCTTTATAGGAACCCTGGGTTCCACCAGCACCACCGGCAGCAACCCCCTGAACACCACCAAGTATGGCCCCTCAAGCATAGTAAAGCAAAAACTAAAGCACTGTGGAGGAAGTTTCTAGTACTGAGTGAGCTTCCCTGCTCCTTCTGATGCTCCAACAACAGCTCCCAGTGCCAGCTCCCACCCTCTTGGGCAGCGGCCACTGAGTCTCAGATAAGGAGGAGGACTTAAGGGCATTGAGGCATTGGCCATCTCCAGGCTCAGGGCTCCTGCCCCAGCCTTTGCCCTGTTTCTGGCTCTACCCTGCTGCTTCTTACAGAAGCGGGAGTGGTTTGTCATTCTCTGCTTCACTCACGGGAATGATTTGGGGCCCCCTGGCACAGCCAGTAGCCCTGGCTTTGCTATTAAGAGGATTTCTGCTACAGTTCTGCCAGAGTGCTAGGGGGCGGCTGCCTGGTGACAGGTGTAACCCGTTTCCATTTCTCTGCAGACGGAATTCTTGCAAGATGGGCTTGTATAATTAATCGGGTTTTATTAGCTCCTCTGGTGAAGCAGACAGCCATCCCGCCCTGGGGAATCTGCTTTGGAACTCAGAACTTTTTATACCTGCCTCTGATGCTGCTGCAGCTGCCTCTCAGCTGCACCTCACCCCCTCCTAGGCTCCTCCCCACCGCCCATACCCACAAGTCTCAGATCTCCAGGAAAAGCATCACTGTCGTCAGGCATCAGGGAACCCCACCATCCACTGGGAACAGTGTGACTGGGGATGGGTGGGGGCCGGGACTACGGCTGAGGTTTTTGACTCTGTAGTCCACAACAAGCCTCCCAGGGTCCAACCTGGAAACTGAATAACTGTAGGTGGGGCGGTTGGTGTGTGTGTGTGTGTGTGTGTGTGTGTGTGTGTGTGTGTGTGTGTGTGTGTATGGTGGGTAGGAGTGAGGGTGCACTGCGGTGATGGAGTTTAGAAAACATGGTGGCATGGGTTTAAGCAGCAGGAAATCCAGGTTGGAGACCCCAGCATGATCATTGCTAGCCATGCTGCTCATTCTCTTTTCAGGGACAGGATTTCCCCAAGGGTACTGAGGTTTCAAGAAACTCTTGAATATCTGGGTTGAATGACTCAGTGCTAGCACTCAAGGATGGGGTGTCCCTCAAATCCTGTGGTGCCTGTGTGGTGGGGAGGGGAAAGGTGCTTTGGCCAGGCAGCTCCTACCAGAGTCCCCCACCCCTGTCTTATTCCCAGCCCTGCCTCCTCTTCTCATAAGCATGGCAGGGAATGTTCAGCCTATGGACCATATAAGGTCCACAAAATCTTGGGGTCTGGTCCTGGTGCTTGATGGACTAGAGTTCTCCCAGAAGCTTCTCGCAAGCTGGGTGAGGGCCATTCTGCCTTGATAATCAGGCCCTGGAATGATGCTGTAAATATCTACATGACTTGGGGCAAATGAAAGGCTTTGCACCCTTGCAAGGCTTAAGCCAGAATCGCTCTCAGCCTGCTTCCTGCCTCTATGTAATGGGTAACTAACTGTGTCTGTCCTTGCAGGAAGGTCAGGCAAGACCGTCTGCACTGGTGGTGGAAAGTTGAGAATGCTCATGGAGTGTGTGTGTGTTGGGGTGGGGGAGGATTGGGAGGAGATGGGGGAGTCTGAGAGTGTCTCTGCACCTAATTCCTCCCACCCAGCCTGCGGGGGGTAGGAAAGGATTCACCTTGGCAATACCCTGACTTGCACCCATACAGCAGCCACTTGTTGGACATCCCAAACCTAAGGCCTAATCACCCTTTGCAGCTTCTTCCCAACTCAGCTGCCCTAGGAGATCTCCAGCCCCAACAGAGGAAGGGCTGCCTCAGGCCTCAGACACCTCGACACCCCGACACCCCACGGGCCCGGCCCTCTTACCTTCCTCGGGGTCCAGGGAGACGGTGATGGAATCCTTAAACACCTCGTGTACCAGGGTGCCATTGTAGACGATGGTCCAGGCCGTCATGTTCACTGTCACAGTCTTCAGGTCCCTCGTCAGGTTCTTGAGGATGAGGGCCATGTTGACCTCTTTGCCCACGGCCAGGACGCCCGTGACCTTGAACACGCCCGAGATGCTGGGCTCCCGCTCCTCATCTTCTCTGCCCCCAGCGGACGTGGGGCCAAACCTGTCATTGGGTTTCAGTTTCCCCAGAGCCTTTTCAAACACTTTTCTTTCCTGGCCAGATCCTGTGTGGTGGGGAAAGAGAGAAGCATTTCAAGGCTGTGGTGGGTGCGACCCAAACAAAGGCCAGCACCCCGCCCCCAGCCAGACTCCCTCACCTTGTGGTCAGTCCCAGGTGGCCACCTGTCCTCTCCACGTTTGCATTTCTTTGCACCCTCATGTCCTGCACTCGGGACTCTAGACCTGTTGCTCCCTGGTCACCTCTCACCCGCGCCCCATCTACAGAGGGGCAGGGAATGATCGGACACAGCATATTCTATGCCACTTGCCACCTGGCAGAGGTTACTTAGGTTAGGCTGTTTCTCTCTCTCCCTCTCCCTCTCTTTCTCTCCAAAAAATAATGAGCAAACAGACAAATTAAAAAGAAATAACAAGAAAATGGAGCTGAAAAGATTACAGGGTGCTTGTTATCACCAACCACAACAAGGTTTTTGATTTACGAAGGATGTCATTAAATTTTTTGTTCCAGGAGAGAGAGAGAGAGAGAGAGAGAGAGAGAGAGAGAGAGAGAGAGAGAGAGAGAGAGAGAGAGAGAGAGGGAGGGAGAGAGAGATTTACAGATATTGAGAGAGAAAGGGGGACGGGACAGTGACACAGAGACAGATGAAGAGAGAAGAGAGACAAAGGCACAGAGAGAGATGAAGAGAGAGACAAAGGGAGAGGAGAGAGGAGGGCTCAACAGGCTGAACACATGCTTTGCATCAGGGATCAAAGCACATGTTTTGACTCCTGGCACTGTCTGGCCCTCTGGAACTGCTGAGAATGACACTTTGAGGGGCTGGAGCCATATTACAGTGAGTAGGGCCCTTGCCTTGCATGTGCAAAATCTGGCTTTGATCCTGGACATCCCATGTTGTCTCTTAAGCACCTCCGGAACTAATTCCTGAGTGCAGAGCCAGGAGTGATCCCTGAGTGTCACAAGATGTGACCCAAAACCACAAATATACTTTTTACCCCTATTTTATTTTGATTTGGGGATCACACCTGATAGTGTCCAGGGCTTAGTCCTGGCTCTCTTCTCAGGAATCAGTCCTGGTAGGTTCAGGGAAGCATGTGTGTGCAGGAGATAGAACCAAGGTCAGCCTTGTACAAGGCAAGTGCCCTATCTGCCATTCTCTCTCTCTCTCTCTCTCTCTCTCTCTCTCTCTCTCTCTGGTCTCTCTTGTTTTTTACCCCATGATTCTAGTTTGTACCGTGGAAGTAGAGAGGGACCCTTTGATCTGTGTCAACTGGCCAGCACCTCCCATGGCTGGACCAACTTCCCAGCTCAGGCAAGTTCCAAGTACGCTCTGAGTGTTTAGATTTCAAGTACACTCAGACTCAATGAAAGGACGAGACATCTGACACTGACTCAGTTGTAGGTGATGCCGAGTGGGGCTAGAGGCAGAGCCCCAGGACAGTGCCAGGATGGACTTAAAGCTCACAGCTCTTGGGCACTCGGAGCTGAGTAACCAGCACAAAGCCTCTGAGCCAGCTTTGACCACACAATTCAGCGAGGGCCCCGCCTTGGCCTCACATGGGCTCACAGGGCCCCGAGCTTCCAGAACACCAGCTATTTAGGGATACAGGCCTTCCATAAGGCCCTCAGCTTTCCCAAGCCACCCAGGAAAGATCGAGGGATTTATTAGAAGCACAAATGTATTGCAGTTTGGCAAGGCCTTGGCCAGAAGTTACGTGTAAGAACTGGCAGAGACCCCGGAGGCCAACTTCTTCATGGCCCTCACGTGAGCACGAAGGCCCTCCGAGAAGTGACTGGTCTAAAGAGCAACACTCGAGGCCCAGAGGGAGCCGATCGCCAGGTGTCCAGCACCGCCCCCCCAACAGTAAGTGCTTCCTCCCACATACCCTGCTTGAAAGGAAGCAGACAGCTAGATTACCCAAACTGGTAGCTCCCGAAGGGCTGGGTCCCTGTGGCTGCCTTTCCATTTCCAGCCGAGCTGCAGGTCCACACCCAGGGCGGCTGTGTGTGCCAGGAACTGAGGGCTCTGTGCTCGGACCGGGAAGCGGGGCTGTTTCCACCAGAAGGCTCGGAGCTAGGATGGCTATATAGGTCACCTGCCCGGCTTACTCAAGTCTAAGCTTCCTGCTACTGTTTGCTCCTTGGTGTCTGGCGATTGCGCAAATGCTTAGCAACCCGTTTTATGAGCTTTTCCTCCCCGAGGCCCTGAGAGACGAGGTGGCTCTTCGGGAAGGAGAACTGGGCGACAACAGGCACTGTGATCAGCCCTGCTGTCACACAGGGGCTGGAGCTCTGCTGGGCTCCCCCCTTCTGCCCCCGTGTGGCCACAGCCTGGTTCCTCTCTAAATCACAGAGGAGGGTTTCCCTGGGAGCAGCTCAGAGGCAGAATCAGGGTGTGACCGGGAGGTGATCCCAGGCCCGGGAAAGCTGTGCACGTCCTGACAGTTCCCACTGAAGGCTGCAGCTGGGCCAGTTGATGCAAGTCCCCCTGCTCTGGATCCAGCGCCCACTTTGCTAGGTCGGCACTGCCTCCACATCAGTTCTTTTGAATCCAGCTGCAGGCGGTTATTGCTATGCCTTGGAAGGGAGATCAGGAGGGCCAGAGAATCCTGCATCAGGCAAGAGGTGGCACCTCCTGGCCTCCTGCCCCTGGGAACTTGTTCCCTGGTCCCCTTACCTTGTTTCTCCATCACGGTATTCTTGAGGATTCTATTCCTCCCTCTGCCTCCCCCTGGCCCCTGCCAACGAGTTTTCTGTAGGTAGGGGTCTCCCCAGAACCAGGCACAAAGTTGGTCCTTGAGATATGCCCAGGCCCCTGTGATTAACCTTGAGAAGGTCTTTGGGTTCAGTGGCGGGAAGAGCCTGCAGACAGAGCCACGTGGAGGCCATACTTTCTTTACATTAGAGCCATATCCCCAAGTATAGCCATGGACACTGACACCCAGAGGGATGGTCCTCCTGGGTGTGGAGCTGGAACTGTGCCCTGGGCTCAGCAGGCCTCTAGCTCACGAAAGCCAACACCAACCACTACCATGGCACTGAGCCTGAAGGTTGACATGAGGATGCATTGAGGGCACCTTTGCCAGGGCACTTTTCTAGGTCCCTCCGAACCTGCCATGAGGATCTTTGGGATCAGTTCTTTGAAATAATTAAATTAAATTAAATTATTTACGGGTGGTGGGGAGAGGGGGTGGCACCCCACCTAGCTGTGCTCAGGGCTTACTCCTGGCTCTGTGCTCAGGGTGTATTCCTGCCAAGGCTCAGAGAACCATATGGGAATGGGGGGAGGTGGTGCTGGGAATTTAAACACGGGTCAGCCAAGTAAGGCAAGTGTCTTACCCCCTAACTATCATTCCGGCCCTCAAAAACACTTTTTAGAAAGACAGATGTGGCCCTGTCAAGAAGCGACTGTAGTCGACAAGCTTTGGCTATTTCTCAAAACAAAGGTCAACTGTGGAGCTTTGGTTACCACTGAGAGTTCTCAAAGACTGAGACTGCAAAAGCAAAGCAGCCAAGGCAGTTGGAGGAAAAGCAACTCGTGGAGTGCGCTTTCCAGACAGGCAACTATCTGAAGCCAGAAGTGGGCAGAGACCCCCCAAGAAGTGTAGGTCTCTGAGGTCCCCCCCCCAAGAGACCTGCATAGCTGGGACTGTTGAGTCAAATCCTGAGCAACCACGGAATGTCACCATCCAACCCCACCTGCCAAAGTCACTGGAAGGCTCATTCCACAGGTCGCCTTTCCCCGAACTCCCTTGGAGGTTTGGGCAGTGGGTTCACAGGGGCATTTTTCCTAAAGCCAGAGGGGCCTCCTGAGGAGCATGTTGGTCTCAAATAGACTCAGTCACACTGCTCCCCCCCACTTCCCTCCCCCCACACACACATTGTGCAAAGTGAGGGGACCCAGCTGGGCAGGAGGAGAGCTGGCACCTGCCCATGCTGCATGCAGACTTTCACTGGAATCGCGCCTGCCCGTCATGGCTCTGTCCCCACTGGAAGCTGTCTGGGGAAGTTGAGTGTTGGGTTTCCGGGTGCTGCTGACCAGGCAGGCAGAACTGGCTGGGGATGCAGCAGCAGCAGAGGGAGGTGGAGGGAGAATTTTCCCTTCTCCACCCTGAAAGCTGTCTCCCCCCTGCCCCCCCCCCCCCAGACCCAGCCTTGAAATACAGCCCCACCCTCACTCCTCCTACCTTCTGGGTACTTGTACTTCTCCGTTACGTCCATGCGGGAGTTGCTGCCCACAGCCTTGGTGCTGATGTAAACGCCGATGGAGCGCGTGTCCATGGAATTCTTTTTCTGGGTACCAGTGGTGGCATCATAGATCCAGGTGATGCGGTCAGCATTAACCTCCGCAAAGACGAAGGGCATGTCGAAGTCCAGGTTCACGTCACCCTCTCGAACGGCGTTCACAGAGGCAGGGCCGCACTGGAACACCCCTGGTGGCCGGGAGGCAGTTAAGATGCACATTAAAGCCGGGGCCATCCATATGCCCCCAACCTCTGTCTCCACCCTGCCCATTTGACTGTCTGTCCCTTTGTTTGGCATCAGCACAGCTCAGCCTGGCTGATTGCCATTACTCTACAGTGCTCCAGAAGAACTGCACATCTACTGAAGACTGGGGCCCAGTCCTGCATTCTGGGGGTGAGGGATGATCATGTCATCCACTGCTCTTGTTTTGTTTTCTGAAGTGGAAAGGTTTTCTGTCTTGGGCTCAGAGTTGCCCCTTTTCCACCTCTAAAAATCACTGTCTCCAAATCATTGGCCTCATCCCCCGCAGTCCTTTTCCTAGAAGACTTTCCTGAACATTCAGACACAAGAGTCTACTTCTTTGAGATCCCTTGGTCTGACCTTTGAGTTCTTTCTCTATCATTCAGCACAGATAGCTCAGATAGATAGATAGATAGGTGGATGGATGGATGGAAGGATGGATGGATGGATGGATGGATGGATAGGTGAATGAAGGGAGAACTGGATAGATATATGGGTAGATAGATGGATGAAATCTCTGGAAGGTTACCCCTACTACCAAATCTACAAATTCACACTATCCCAGGTAGAGGGGCTGGGGTTGGAGGAGGAGATAAGACTAAACTTTCATTGTAATTCCTGCAGAATGTTTTTTTTTTCTTTTTGGGTCACACCCGGTGATTCTCAGGGGTTTCTCCTGACTCTGCATTCAGGAATTACTCTTGGCAGTACTCGGGGACCATATGGGATGCTGGGAATTGAACCCAGGTCGGTTGCGTGCAAGGCAAACACCCTACCCGCTGTGCTATCACTCCAGCCCCTCCATATCCAGGTTTTACATTTGTAACCTATTTCTTTCAAAATCTGAAAAAGAATACTTACAAAATGAGGCTAGCTGACTAGTCATGCTCCAGAGTTACAGGAGGGGAGATAAGAGGTTCAGGAAAGTTGGGGACCCGAGCTTTATGGGAAAGGAGGGGCAAAGAGGCCAGAGGTGGATGGTCAGGGAAAGGGCCAAGGTCAAACTGCTCTCTAGAGAGCTTAATGGATAGAGGGAGAGGAAAGGGAGCAAGAGAGACGCTGGGACAGTGATCAAGGGACCTCGTGTTGAGCCAGGAATTTGGACCAAATCCAAGGGCCACGGGGGCTGGAGGTTTCTGTGAGAGGAGGCAGAGGTTATGCGACGTGGTGCAGAGAAATTATGGTTGGCAGAGACAAGCGTTTTTCCTGGTTCCTGGCACGAGCCAGGGCCGCCGCCTCAGTGGCAGCTGTGTGAGCACAGGGAGACACCCAGTTCCACAACAGCCAGGGCCAAGCCAAAGTGAGAGAGAAAATTTACATGGAGAATATTTTTGTTTGAATTCCACCATGCTGGGAGTACATGGAGGGGACTCGACTACACTCCTAACTGTTACTGGCAAGACCAGAGAGGTAGAGTCAAACGCAGAGAAAGCGAGGGGGAGGAGGGGGCTGGGAGGGGCAAGAGGGGTTTACCTTGGCTTCTCTCCTGGGGTGTGGCATCCAGAACCTGCCATCCATTGTATGCGGGGCCCAGGTCAGTCCGCACAAGCCAGCACTCATTCCAGACATGGAAGTTCCTGTGGAGAGAATTACAAGATGACTCCTTGTCCAAGGCTGTGCAGCTGATGGTGGCAAACACCAGCGCTCTGATCTGCCAGAGCAGGACCGGGGGGCACAAGCGGGGTTTCCCTGCACCGGCTCCCACTGCTCACCTTGCTGACCAGTGTCCTATTTAATTCCTCAGGGCACCATAAGACAACTCTTTCTATGCCCATCTCATAAAAAAAGGGAAATCGAGGCTCAGATAAGTCAGGCACCTGACAAAATTGACAGTCTATGTTGACACCCAGATACCAGTTTCCTCTGTTATCTGAAAGTATAACATTCTTTTGTTTTCTTTTCTTTTTTGGGGGGATGGGGGTGGGGGTGGGGGAACACCTGGTGATGCTCTGGGCTTACTTCTAGCTCTGCACTTAGGAATCACTCCGGATGGAACTTGGGGGACCATATAGGGTGGGGTGCTGGGGATAGAAATGGGGTCAGCCACGTGCAAGGAAATTGCCTTATTCACTGTACTATCTCTTCGGCTCCTGAAAAGATAACATTATTTTTGTATTCAGGGAGGCCTTCCAAGCAGTGCTCAGGGGAAGTCCAGGGGCTACTTCTAGCAGTACTTGGCTAATCAGGCCAGAGGCTAATGCTAGGATGCAGCAATGCTGGGAGCTGCCAGGGCCACACTGGTGATACTTAGGGGTCTCCAGGGCTACTCTTAGTCATGCTGGGTGTCCATGTGGTGTTGGATTAAATTAAATTTAGGGTTAAATTTAAACCTTTGCTTGCTAGGCCTGGGTCCTGGACCTTGAGCTATCTTTCCAGCCCAAGCAGAACCTTGCTGTGGTATATTTAAGTAGGTTGTTTTGGGGGTCTGAGAATGCTCAAAAACTTTTCCATATAACTTAATAGCATTCTCAGGTTCTCCCCAAATAATGTACTAAATAATAACAAGAATGAACTAAATATTAACTACATTCTCAGGTCCCCCGAAATAATGTACTAAATATTAATAACAATAATGTACTAAATATTAACAACTAAATATTAACAACAAGGGAAGTTCTATTTTTTGAACATTAAGAGGAACTTGGTGCCAAACTTTGAAACTGAATTCCTAGGGCTGGAGTGACAGTACAGCAGAGTGATAGTAGAGCAGGAAGGGCCTTATCCTTGCCCGTGACCAACTGGGCAAGGATCCCAGAATCCCGTAGGGTCCCCCAAGTACCTCCAGGAGTGATTCCTGAGCACGGAGCCAGGAGTCACCCCTGAGCATTACTGGTTTGACCCCATCACAAACAAACAAACAAACAAACAATAAATAAATAAAAGCCAAAGTCCTAGATCATCACATTCTATTGTCTTTTGAGCTAAGAAAGGGGCAGCGTGGCAGACAGCCCCATACAGCTTTCTCTTATGTGTCCTGTTGGGATTCACTTCTGTAGCTCTCAAGGGTTGAAAATGAATGCAACACAAGTAGCAAATGTGGCAGCCCTGGGTGAAAATCTGGGTTGAAGAATGAGCTAAGTTCTTCACCCCTCCCCCTCCTGTTTCCCTCACTGCCCCTCTCTTTCCCGGTGCTGTCAATTAACCAAGGTGTTCCCCATCCTCCTCTTAGATCTTGTCCTCCTTTTTCCTCTCCTCCCCCCAGGCATCCACCTTCATGTGGACTGTGGTTGTTTAGGATGCAACTAGAAGAAGACAGAAGTCCAACATAAACCCAAGTTCTCTATGACTAGAAAAATGTTGTTTTATACTTGTGAAGTGGAGAAGATGATTTCAAGTGGATGACCAACTTCAGAAACCCTAATGGGAAAGACAGGTAGATTTGCAACATCACTAATAGCCAAGATCTGGAAACAGCCCAGATGCCCAGCAACAGATGAACAGGGAAAGAATCTGTATCTAGAGGCATACGGTGGAAAACTACTGAGATATAAGAAAATCTGAAATCTTGCAGTTCATGGCTACGTAGATGGAATGGGAGGGCACCATGCTGAGAAAAGGAATCTGCAGGAGAAGGACAAATACCAAATGATCTGTCTCATTTGTGGAGCATACAGAAACCCAATAATGGAAGAGACAATAGATAGTGAAAACAGATTTGAAAACTCTGTCAATAGAATTGAGTTTGCTGATTGGTAGGGCGGGAGTAGGGAAAAAGGATCTAGAGACAGTGGTGGAGGGGTGTTGGCATTTTAGTAGTGGGGACGGTACAGTGACATTATAAATAATAGTAAACATTATGATGAACAATGTTGTAAATCATGGTGCCTTAATTAAAAGCAAAGCAAAGCAAAAATATTAAAAAAATATTAAAGTTGCATAGGCCAGAGACTTGTTCTGTTTCCAGTATGGAGGAGTAAGCTCCTAATAAATGGCTCTTTCTTGGGTAGCAATAAGGTCTGTAGGGGATACCAGACAGTGTCCTTAATGAGAATTAAGTGGGAGGACTTGGGAAAGGAAAGGAGTGAGCAAGGGGATGCACTGCACTTTGGGTGACATGGCTCTAAGAACAGTTTGTGAGGTAAAACAAAGAGCAGAAAATGCTTCAACACCTTTCTGGTCTGAGGAGTTAAGTGACAAACGCTGGGTCAGTGAGGGCCACTAAAGAGTGGGGGCAGGGAAAGTCTTGTAAGGAAAAGATATGAGAGAAATGATCCCCTACAAAGTCTCAAATTTATACCCCCTCTTTCCTCTTTCTTAGCTTTCAGGGAGACCTCTGAACCAGCCACGGGTGAGCTAGACCAGTTAGATGAGCAATTCCACTCAAGTGAGGACTCAGCTGAGACTGGAACTGCTGCCCTCCACAAGAAAGACAGAGATGGCAACGGTACCCCAGGTAGACTGCTAAAATAGAATAACAGAATCCAGGCATAGCCAAAGTCCAAGATACAACACCACACAACTCACATGACAAAGAGCCAGAAAAACATGACACTCTCCAGGGGAAGAGAATCACCAGGGACCAACCCTGACAAGATCCAGTCGCGATAACACAGCGGTAGGGCGTTTGCCTTGCACACAGCCAACATGGCCGACCCGAGTTCGATTCCTCTGCCCCTCTCGGAGAGCCCGGCAAGCTACCGAGAGTATCTCGCCCGCATGGCAGGGCCTACAAGCTCCCTGTGATGTATTCGATATGCCAGACACAGTAACAACAAAGTCTCCAATGGAGACGATACTGGGACTGCTCGAGCAAATTGACAAACAACGGGAGGGCCTTTACCTTTACCTTTTATTCTTTCTTTGGGTCATACTAGCAGTGTTCGGGGCTTAGTCCTGGCTCTGTGCTCAGAGGTTACTCCTGACAGGACTTGGGGGACCATATGTGGTGCCAGGATCAAATCCAGGTTGGCTATGTGGAAGACCAGTGCCATACCCACCGTACTATCTCTCTGGCCTGGAATTATTGGACTTAAAAGCAGCTATCCTAACTATATTCAAAGAGATACAGGAAAACATTCTTATAGCAAAAGGGAGAAATAGAAAACACAGAAAAATAACCAAATAAAAAAAGTAACTGAAAAAATTCCGAAATCAAAGAATCTCATAATAGGCCTAGAAGAATAGAAATATAAGGAGAGTCAGCAAACTTGAAATAAAATCAGTAGAAATTATTCAATTGGAAGAAGAGAGGGGGAAAGATGGGGAGAAAACTAATAACATGGGGAAAATATAGGTGATCTATACCCTAGACAGAGATTTTCTATAATTAATATTTTAAAGGATGTTACAAATCAATAAGAAAAGGACAAAAGAAAAAAACAACCTCACCACACCAATAAAGGATAATGAACAGGCAATTTTCATAAGGAATACAAATGATCACTGCTCCTATAAAAATAGTTTTATCTTCACCTCGATTAAAAGAAAATAAAAATGACAAAGCGAAGCCTTTTCATGTTTCAGCCTGACAAAGCTGAGAGCAGAGGCTGATACTCATTGTTGTAGGATACTCATTTCCGGGGGTGGTGAAACAAGCACTCCACACACCACTGGTGGGAGTTGAATTGCTATGACACTGTGGAAGGCAATTTGGCAGTGAGAATGAAGAACTTTTAAAAATCTGCGTACCCACTGAGTCAGTAATTCCACTTCTAGGAATTCTTCCCATAAAAATATAGGAGTGCACCTAGGTGATCAGGGAAAGATAGCCATGGAAGTGCTATTTATAATAGCAAAATTCAGGGAAGAAAAGTCATCAGTAAGGGGAGGGGGGTAAACTATGGCCTCGCCAGGCAACAGAATATCACAGAGATGCCCCCCAAAATGAGCAAATTCTGGGGCTGGAGAGACAGTACAGCTGGTAGGGTGCTTGCCTTATGTGCAGCAGACCTGGATTCAATTCCTGGCACCCCATATGGTCTCCTGAGTTCTTTCAGGAGTGATCCCTGAGTGAAGAGCAGGTGTGATTCACCAAACCAAAAACAAACAAAAAAGAATTAGAAAATTCTATCCAACACTTTCCACTTACAGGGAAAGATGTCTAATATATGAAGGCATATTTATCAAGTAAGAAAAGTAATTTATAAATTAGTCTTCAGCTATCATATACTGTACTTATATAATATATAATGTATATATGTATTTGTGCATACACACATTCATGTACATATATTGTACACATACGAGTACCTAATATATAACTATAATGAACCTATTTATATTTGGAAACCTATACATTAAAATCTCAGTTAAAATCCTGATAATTCTATTATTTTAAGGAATCACCATTCAGATAACAATTTGATGTGCATTTGGATTAAGATCTACATTGTATATTTCTGTAATGTTTTCATCTTCTATAAAGAGAATTGCTGATTACTTCTATAGTTTTGTAATTACCAAATAAATGAATATTTTAAAATAGTGTGTTATAAAGACAATAAAAATCAGTATAAAAGGTCATTAAGTATTCAAAATGCCTTATATCAGTCACTCATTTAATTTAATACTCTTACAGAAAAAAACTATCATTTCCATTTGACAATTCTGGAAACTGAGGCCCAAGTAAGTTTTAATG